GTTTACAATATATTGAAAATGTTTACTGTTGAAAAGTATTTAGATTGAAAAGTGAGCTGATGCAAGTTTGCAATATGACCAGAAAAAAAAAAAAGATTGAAAAGTGAATTGGAATCCAACTTTATTTTTAATTACAACATCTTGAATTCCTCCAGCAGTATGTAATACTATATTCTAAGGTATAGAACAACAAGAAACTTAAGTAAAAAAGAATTTTAAAATCTTATAAAATATGATTAATAGCGGTGCAGGTCGGTGCGGTTTGGAAGAAAATAGAAACCGACAGATTGATAAAAGTGTCACTAGAATTTGCCATTTTTCTTACCAAAACGGCGGTTCGATTGACAAGTAATAACGAATTTGTCTTGGCGTGCGTTCGTGCGGTTGCGGTTTGGCGGTTTCGGCAGTATTATGCATACCTAGCTATGTGATTATGGATTTAAGCAGCAGAGTAATGTTTGGTAAATAAGCTGTAAAATAGCTTTTTTCTGTATAATTGTCATTTTTGTCCTTATAAGATATAAAATTTGTGATTCATTTATATAACATTTTTTTTTCTTTTTCATTTTTATTTTTCACCTTATTTTCTTTTCTTTTTTAATTTTTTTTTCTTTTCTTCTTTCTTTTGTTAATTTTTTTTTAATTTATATTAATGTTGTGATTTCATTACATATTATCTTTCATATATTCATTATCAAAATTATTAATTTTTCTTCTCTTCTCTTCTTTCTCTGTATTTCTTTTCTTTATTGTTATTATTAATTGTGATTTTTAGTATAAAAATTATCAATTGCTCATCAATTATTAAAATTAGATTCAATTATTATTATTATATTTATTATTAATTTGTTCATCGATTATTAAAATTAGTATCAATTGTCCATCAATTATTATTATTATTATTCATTATTATTATTCATTTTAATTATTTTTAGTAATATTTCATTTTTAGTAAATATTAATTCTGGAAAGTAATTTTTTTAATTATGAAAAGTAAATATTAATTGAAATAAATTGTGTTAAATATTAAAATTAGTATCATTTTGTCCATCAATTATTATCAATTATTATTATTATTATTATTCATTTTAATTATTTTTAGTAATATTTCATTTTTAGTAAATATTAATTCTGGAAAGTAATTTTTTTAATTATGAAAAGTAAATATTAATTGAAATAAATTGTGTTAAATATTAATTCTGAAAAGTAATTTTTTCTTTTTTAATTAATATTAATATTGATTTTTTTTCTTTTTTTTTCAATTTTTTTTCTAGGGTTTAAAAACCCTAGCTCAAGTAGCACAGGGGCGACGACGGGCGCTAGGGTTTGAGATCGCGATGGTTCAGATTGACGACGGCGTTGGTTCAGATCGACAATGGCGTTGGTTCAGATCGCGATGGTGACGAACCAACGCCAGAGAGAGACACACAGACAGAGTTTCGCGATCGTGATAGCGACGAACCTGAGATCGACCAGCACCATGGATATAGCGCAGAGAGAGAGAGAGAGAGAAGAGAGAGATCTCTGTTTCATCGCCGGAGCGAGGGACACGTCGCCGGAAATCGCCAGAGCTTCATCAAAGAGACAAAAAGGAGAGTTTTTTTGATTTATATACGTGGTACACTTGTAATTATTTGAAATTGTGAGGGGCATTTAAGTCATTTTGTCCCTCAAATTATAGCTGCCCAGTTAAGTTGTTTTGGGAAGCACCTCCTCCCCTACTCAACCAAAAAGCTCAATTTTTACTTATAAAAAGCTATAATCTACCCCCATAAGTTACACTAAACACTCCAAAATCACTTATTTTAAGCTATAAGTGGATTTAAGTTGAAAAAAAACTATACCAAACAGTCCCAAAACCCGTTGACAATGAGTAAAGGGATTTGTGAAATATATTAATCAAATTTGGGTGACTTAGAGAAATGACATGAGATAATTCTAAGAGTGAAAGTAAGCTTGACAGTGATGAGTGCAAATTAATTTGTTCACACATAAGTGTATGAACATTACACTTGATGCTTATTGGTTGATTTGAAGTTAGAGGTGAGACCATCTCATTGTCCAACCAATAGAAAAATGTGTATTCTTCGCCTAGTGTGAATTTTTTTTTTCTTCTCTAAAGTGAGTGATCTAACTTCATCTAAGGGCATTCCTAACGTTCACTCTTTTTTTCTATCAAATTTGAGTAAAAATTTAAGTAAAATCTTGATCTGATATCGAGAGTTCCAACGGAGAATTCTGAATTTTCATCAAATCACCGGTCGATCAGGAGGATGACTAGAAGGATATCCGGCTGGTCGACCGACTAGTATAAATTGTCCAGTGTAAATTGCATAGAAGTGGATGTCCGATGGACAACTGGCCGGTCGTTCGGTACTTTTGCACTAACGGCTATCTATAGTAATTTGATGAAAGGCTCCAAGCATCCTCAATTTAATGAAAAGCTTAAGACATTCTCAATTTGATAACAAACTGATGAAACGGTTGGAGCACCATTTTCATCAGTTTTTCATCAAATTTATTTGATGAAAGATTGGAGACGCTCTAACAAATACCTATTAGATAGTGATTTAGTGGTTCTCACCATTATCCAATAAAAATCTTCCACATTGGTCGTTATTAAAATGTGGTTTGGAATTTGAGTTTTTAATTTTTTTATGAAATGAAAAAAAGTTAATGTGTTTGTAAATATATATATATATATATATATTTAAGTTGCATGGGAATTTTGAATAACTGTGTATAACTTGTTTTTTTAAAAATAATTTTTTATTTTTATTTATTTTTCATTTTTTGTTAATTTTTTTAATAAAGGCAAAACAAACTAATTTAGTCAATAAAATAAAATATCACATTCAAATCATTATTATTTTATTTTTTCTCTTACAATCATTAAATTTCTCACAATGATTTAAAATTTATCTTAAACATAACTTTTTTTAATCAAATTTAAATAATTAAAAAATCAGACTAAATGAATTCATCTCGAACAAGGTGTCAAACAAAATCTAAGCCAGATGTTGGTCAATAAAAGGAAGAGGTCACTTTGGCCCTTTTGAGAAGTGTTACAAAAGACTCGTGTTTGTTTGACTTGGTAAATAGGATCACATTTTTGACTTCAAAGGAAGCAAAACCCCTCTCCTCCTCCTAGGCTGTTAGGTGGAGACCAAGATATGACAAGTCCTACTATATTACAGTGAACGGGCCGCCTTAGCTTAACCTTCATTTTATGCAATTGTTTCCTTAGCTCATCATGGGATTTCAAAACATTCGATTTAGTTTCTTAAATTATCGAATAATGTTATATTATTAATTAGTGTATCAATTGATAATGTGACGTAATTTAAAATATTTTTGATATTTGTAATGTGATTAATGAGTGGGGTCAATAATAATATTATAACTAATGTTGATATACTAATGTGTACATTAATTAGTACATGTGGCACCACCGTAAATCATCAGTCAATAATACTTCATCCACGAGTTTATTACTATAAAGCTGCTCATTGTGTTGCTGAGTAATCTCTTTTTCATGGACAATGAAGGTATTTCGCTGTGTTACATGAATTTTTTTTTATTTTTTTAAAAAATATTTGTATATATTGAATATGTTGGATAAGGGTGTGAGATATATATATTCGATATTCGTACTCAATTTAGACACTTGGGTCCTTTAATTTGTTACAATATATGAGAGGAAGAAACTCACATTTGTTAATATAGCAATATTTTTATCTGAAAATTAGATATAGAAATTTTATTTTTTCTTCTGAATTTTATTTAATATCAAATATATTTCTATATAATTTATAATATTTTATCCAAAAATATTATGTAATATGTAATATATATGTGTATACATTTTTAAATACGTATCTCAAGATTATAAGATTTAAATTTATAAAAATTTGACGCTTAAATACATGCTCACACCTAATATTCGTACAGGAGGCCATGTAAACATAGTTATTTGGAGCAAAAACCTCACCTCTTGCTGTCATTATGATCCTAGGGTCATTGAATGTAAGCTAGTTGGTCAAAAGTTTATTAGTATTAATTTTTTTTTTTTTTGAAAACGGTTGCTCAATAATCATTCTGAATAAAATTTTAGAAAGAAAAAAAGAAAAGACAAGAAAAATAGGAAAAAAAAAATCTTAATAATGATGGACCAAAATGATGTTAGACTTTGTGGTTCTTGCATTACAAAATGATAGGGGTTCTTGTGGTTCCTTCATTTCAGATAAAATATTATCATTATATTTTATAATTACAAAAATGTTATCGTCACTCCTATTTATATAATTTTTATGTAAAAAATTTATGTTGACAGTTAATTATATTTTTAGTTCTAAAAGTATGAGTTTGGTGTCATTTTAGTCATTAATGTTTAAATTATATAAATTTAATTCTCAATATATAAAAAATTGTTTCAATTTAATATCCGTTCAGTACCCATTTTTCACCACAGATTACTTGCACCCTTTATGTTTTTATAATTTTTTTTTTCTATGCCGCACCATCAAGTAATTACCCCTTAAAAATGTGCAGTTTAGCCAAATGAAGACAAAATGCTGTATTTTCATTGTGAGGGACCAACCAAAATGTCAAATATTGTTTGTTGGGAGCTAAAACGATATGCTTTTTTTTGGCAGGAGACTGCCACAAGCTACTAAATTTCCTATGGCAAAAATCCCCTACATAGGAGCTTAGAAACATAGATGTTAATGGAAGGATCTAGAACTTCCTAGCTCATTCCAACACTTGAGAGAACATGGAGAATTCTAGAACATCCTTCAGTATTCAAAACACTTAGACTTGTAAATATCTTGTATAGATATTTCTATAGCATTCTAGAATATTCTTGTAACTTGTAAGAAATGCTTTCAAAGGAAGCCTCTCAATGTATTTTCTAGTAGTTTCTAGAGTATTCTATGAGAGGCCAAGAGTGCCTATAAATAGGGGATGGGCTCATTTGCTCCAAAACCATCTAAGAGTTGTAAAGCTTTCTCATAGTGAATACAAGGCATTCTCTCAAACTCTCTTGTGTTCTTCTTACTTGTCTTTCTTCTAAGTTTGTGAGTTAGGCTGACTTAGCATCATCAAGTGCAGCTTGAGATTGTCTAAGTTCCACACGGATAGCTTGGAAATAATCAAGGCCATGACATGTGGTATCAGATCAGGTTTGAGACAAGAGAAGAAAATGTAACAATGTCATCCGGTGTATAGGAGACTGTGACGCAGCGAGCAAGTGGAAGGGAACCCACGAAGGGAAGGAAAGATAAGTCACGAGATGCTGTTACCACCATGGAAACACCACTTGCCAAGGTAGAGCTTGCTGTGGGTGACTCGAGGGAGCGTCTTGATGTGTTGGAGCAAAGCCTTGAACATGAGGTGGAGGGCCTCAAGGGGGAGATCAAGGAACTCCATGATGGCATGCTTTCCATCATCAATTATGTGGCACATGATGCTCAAGTGGCCAATGATTCTTTCCAACACAAGGTGTTGGAGATGCTCGCACAATTTGAAGCCTGCTTGGAGGAAGTACACCAAGATGTGGCAATGTGCAAAAAGGCCATGGCTGGGAGAGCCATGACCTTGCCGGGGACATCTAAGGTGGATGTGCCAAAGAAAAAGCCTTTTGATGGAAAGAGGGATGCCAAAGAAAAGGACAACTACTTATGGCACATGGAAAGATAAATCGAGGTGATGGCAATAACCGAGAAAGATGCCAAGGTACGCACCGTAGTCCTTTACCTTGCTGATTTAGCAACTCTATGGTGGCGTTGTAGGCATGCTGACATTGAAAAGTGTATGTGCACCATAAACACTTGGAATGACTTTAAGAAAGAACTTAAGAAACAATTCTATCCTGAGGACGCGGCCTATCAAGCTAGAAAGAGCTTGAAGAAACTTAAGCACACATCGTCTATTCGGGATTATGTAAAAGAATTCTCTACTCTTATGCTTGAGGTCCCAAATATGACTGATGAAGAATTACTTTTCAACTTCTTGGACAACTTACAACCATGGGCGGAGCAAGAACTGCATCGCTGCGGAGTGCAAGATCTTGCCTCGGCTATGGTTGCAGCGGATTCCCTCATCGAGTATAAAAGGGTAGACAACAAGGCTAATACATCCAACGATAGTCATAATAAAGGTGGGGGAGACAAGGACAAGGGGTTCTGTCACGACCCAAACCCGCCCCTATAGGTTTAGCGTCGTAATCGATCAGTAATCCTTGGATTACTAAAGGCCTCTTAACATAATAATGAATAATTAGGGACTGCGGAAGCAAATACATAAAATATACAAAGTTCATCGAGCTGTGAAGAGATACATGGGACTGATAATCTTAAACTTTTATAAATATACGAGTGACGTCAAAAGATACAGTATTTACACGTCACTTCATGTACATAAAAAAAAAAACTTGTTCATGGAGCAAAAGGAACAAAGTCCTATACAGTCATAAATACACATAGCCACTAGACTTGATTTAATTTGGAACCTCCTTGGGAGGCACAAAGGTTGGTTGACAAAAACTGAAACGTCAGATCCTTAACTCTGAGCCTGGTCACATACCTGATCACCTACATACATAATATAAATAATGAGCAGGAGCCCAGTGAATAAAAATAGAGTAAAGGGTTGAATGAATGATGTCTCGTAACTAATTCATAACTCAGAGTTCATATCAAAATAGATTCACATCGAATTCTTGTTCTGAGCATATACAAAAACCAGAGTTCATGCTTAATTTTATATGGCTTATCCGTTAGCGCTAATAGATCCTTTACAAAGCTTCTTAGATCATACTTGTTAGCTCCATAGAGGAACCTCCGGCTGGGTACGGATAACTTGTCAGTTCCATAAAGGAACCTCCGGACTGGAAACGGATAACTTGTTAGTTTCCTAAGGAACCTCCAGCCGGGTACAGATAACTTGTCAGTTCCATAAGGAACCTTCGATCCAGGTACAGATAGCATACTTGAATCATAGCATAAATACCACAAACATTTGTCAGAGTTGGACATTCATTCATAGTATAAAACATGACATTTCATAAAATAGATCTTATTCCATATATAAAAAATAATTTAACTTAAACATAGCTTTACTAAGTTATTACTCACAGATAACAAATGGCTCCAAGTAAACGGACAGAGTAGACAATTCAGATATCTTGTGGCGTGTGACCTACGTAGATACAGAATAAATACGTACTAAATTACACACCCGGAATCATTAAGTTTGTTCTTTCTTGTCTTGGTGTGTTCCTACTCCTCTATCTTCATTATGGTGTCTTAATCTTGGCCTAGGAATGCCTAGGATGGAATGAGAATGCAAAAATGCATTTGAAAACGCTTAACAAAAATTGCTGAAAGCAGGATCCTCGCTCGAGCGTAACTTCCTACGCTCGAGCGGATATGCAAAATGTGAGTGGTCGCACGAGCGCAAGATCTGTTGCTCGACCGGTCTGTAAACTTTTGCAAAAGTGCTGGTTGCTTACTTTTTTCGCTCGAGGCTTGCTCTTGCTCGAGAGCAACTTTTGTCGCTCAAGCGGTCTGCAAAAAATAAGAACTTCTGGGAACATGCATTTCACGCTCGAGCGGAATTCTGGTCGCTCAATCGGAAGTGCACGTACTCAAAGTGGTCGCTCGAGCATGGATTCCTTCACTCGAGCGTAGGAGTAGAATTCTGGAATTTCCAGATTTGCTCCCAAGCTCAAAACTCAATTTCAAAATCACAAATCTTAGGCTGTGTTTGGTTGTGCTTTTGAAACGTGATTCTACACCTGTGTTTCAGTATGATGTTTGTTTAGGATTTTGTAATCACGTTTTGAATATTTATTTTGAAAAAAAATTATTTCCTTTATAGTATTTTCAATAAAAAATTGATTAATGTTATTTTTTGTTAATAATAAATTTTTTTAATTGAATTTTAAAAAGAGTTTGGTTATGAGTGTTGATTAAAATTTTCAATAGTGTGAAAGTAATATGTTTTATTATGAGTTATAACAATTTGAATTAAGTTTTAAAAACTCTTTACAAAACTCATAACCAAACAAATTTTCTTACTTCACATGTCAAATCAAACTTTCAAAACTTAATTTCACACTCAATTCAAAACTCAATTCAACACTCTATTTAAAAACTATAACCAAACCAATTTTCTACACTCAAATTATAATTTCACAACTCACAAACTCAAAATACAACTCATACTCTCAAATCATATTTACAAAACTCTACCAAACGCAACCTTATTCTTTTGGGCCAAAACTCAAGGAACCATGTCTAAACTTGAAAAATATTAAGAAATAAGGATCATTTCACAAAATCAAGGACTCTAAGGTTGACAATTGAGCAAACTCAAACTTGAATTATGAAAACATAATATAGATATGACATGCATGTAAATTTCTTGAACTAAGGCTTTTCAAACATGATTAATTAAAGTCAGATGGTAAGAAATGTGATGAATCCTCAACACCAAGTCAAGATAGACACATGCATGTGGTAATTCTTTGAATTCAAACTCAAGATGTTATGATATATGCTTGCATGTAATGAATGACTTAACTTTCTTCAATTTTAGCTCAATTCCCATATGAATTCACCTAATTCACTTGTTTCCATGCATTAATCAACATTTGATCGGGCAATAATGACGGGAGAGGAGTGAGAGTGAGATATAGAGAGAGAAACTGAGGAGTATCTTGTAGGGAGAGAGCCTTACTGAATTTGTCTTTCCCTCTCTCTCTCTCTCTCTCTCAAAACATATTCTTTTTTTAAAAACAACCCCTCTTTCCCCCTCTCTCTCTCTCTCTTTCTCTCCTCCGTTTGAGTTCAAAGATATGAGTGAATGAAAGTGTAAAGTATAAAAGAGGTGATGGGGGTGGCCTTATATACGCTCACCTAGTGGTGGTTCATTAAAGCTAATTAAATGGGCATTAAATTAATCTAATTTAATTATTCTGAAATCGAATCTCAATTAAACCTACCATAAAATTCTAAAAATTCTAATTAACACATAAATTAAGTCAATTTCTGAATCGGATGCCGATAAGGCCTTCAATTAGTAAACCGAATGAAAACATGAACAGATCTTTCTACGTTAAACAGATATAAATACACATAAGGCAATATATGATGCAAAATTTTACTTTAATTACTTATTAGGCATATTTAAGCATGGATTAACGTTAATCATGAGTCAAGGTTATTACAGGTTTCATCGTAAAGAAGGGCACAACAAACTCCCTACTGGCAAAGAGAGAAAAAACAAAGCTAAATATCAATCTAAAGACAAAGAAAGTTCAAGCCTAAGACCAACTGCTTCTTATGTGATGGACCGTATTGGGCAAGAAAGTGTCCTAGAAGATAAGCCTTCAATGCCATGATAGAAAAGTGGAAAAAAGAGGAAACTCCCCACATGGGATCTCTACAACTACTTAATGCCATCAAATAAAAGCATGTCATATCGACCCAAAGTGACAAAGGCTTAATGTATGTAGAGGTAAGCCTCAACGGGAAGCCTACTCGTGCAATGGTGGACATGGGAGCTACCCACGACTTTGTCTCTGTAAAAGAAGCAAGAACATTGGAATTAAAGACTAGCAAAGAGTCTAGATGGCTCAAGGCTGTCAACTTAGAGGCAAAACCCTTGCATGGAGTAGCACGTGGGATAGACATCAACCTTGGTCCTTGGAAAGGCAAGATCGACCTTACAGTGACACCTATGGATGACTTCTAAGTTGTCATAGGCATGGACTTCTTGGGCAAAGTCAAGGCAATACTAATACCCTTCCTATGCTCCATGGCAATCTCAGAGTAGAACACACCTTGTGTGGTACAATCGGTGCTAGGAAAAGGGTTCAAGACCTCGCTTCTCTCAGCTATGCAAGTAAAGAAAGGCTTCAAGAAGGGATGAGTGACCTACCTTGCAGCCATGACAAATGAAAAGAATGATGTACCTTTGGGGTCAATACCTAAAGAGATAAAAATGGTACTCGAGGAATATAAAGAAGTGATGCCGCCTAAATTGCCGAAGAAACTACCACCTAGAAGGGAGGTGGATCACAAGATCGAGTTGGAGCAAGGAACAACGCTGCCCGCCAAAGCACCTTATAGGATGGCACCACCCGAGTTGGAAGAACTAATGAGGCAACTAAAGGACTTGCTGGATGCTGGCTACATTCAACTGTCCAAAGCCCCTTATAATGCTCCGGTGCTATTCCAAAAGAAAAAGAATGGTTTTCTTCACCTATGCATTACTATTGGACGCTTAACAAGGTAACCATCAAAAACAAGTATCCTATTCCTTTAATTGCTAACTTGTTTGATCAACTTGGAAGAGCTCGATACTTCACTAAACTTGACTTAAGATCTAGCTACTACCAAGTAAGGATAGCAGTTGAGGATGAGCCTAAAACTACTTGTATTACTCGGTATGGCTCATATGAGTTCTTAGTGATGCCATTTGGCCTCACCAATGCCCCAGCCGCATTTTGCACTCTCATGAACAAGATCTTTCATCCTTACTTGGACCGATTCATAGTGGTCTACTTGGGCGACATCGTGGTCTATAGCAACACTTTGGAAGACCATGCAGATCATCTACGAACGATGTTTAAAATGCTAAAAGATATTGAGCTCTACGTGACGAAGGAGCAGTGCTCATTTGCAACGAATGAGGTATCATTCTTGGGGCACAAGATCAAGAAAAGGATGCTTATGATAGATGAAGACAAGGTGAGGCCAATACAAGAATATGAGGCTCCCACTAAAGTGACGGAGCTAAGGTCTTTCCTTGGCTTTGTTAACTACTACTGGCATTTCATAAAAGGCTACTCGACGAAGGCAGCACCACTCACCGATCTTCTAAAAAAGGACAAGGCATGGGAGTGGTCGAAGAAGTGCCAAGATGCCTTCGAGGACTTAAAGAAGGCAGTAATGGAGGAACCAGTCTTGGGACTACCCGATCAGACCATGCCATATGAAGTATATACGGATGCCTCAGACTTAGCTATTGGGGGAGTACTTATGCAAGATAAGAAACCTATTACTTATGAAAGTCGCAAGCTTAAACGAAGGTGCACAGTGCAAGAAAAAGAGATGTCGGCAATAATTCATTGCTTGTGCACATGGCGACACTGCTTGTTGGGATCCAAATTTGTGGTCAAGATAGAAAATATTGCCACCAGTTACTTTCAGTCCCAAAAGAAGTTTAGCCCTAAACAAGCTAGATGGCAAGACTTCTTGGCAGAATTTGACTATGTCCTGGAGGACAAGCTAGGAAAGGCAAACCTCGTGGCTGATGCACTAAGCCGCAAGGCGAAATTAGCAGCTTTGGGTAGCAAACCCCAAGGGGAGCTGGTTGAACTCCTCAAAGAAGGGCTACAACATGACTCACTCGCCAAAGGCATCATTGCATTAGCCAACAATGGGAAAACTAAACGTTTCTAGGTGAAAGATGGCCTATTCTACACGAAGGGGAAACGACTCTATGTTCCAAAGTGGGGTAACCTACGGAGGAATCTAATGAAGGAATGTCATGATACCAAATGGGCAGGCCACCCAGGACAAAGGTGTACCAAGGCATTATTAGAATCGGCATACTATTGACCAAGAATACGAGATGATGTAGAGGCATACGTGAAGACTTATCTTGTGTGTCAACAAGACAGGGTAGAGCAGCAAGCACCTGGAGGTTTGCTAGAACCATTGCCTATAGCTGAGAAGCCTTGGGAGAGTGTCACCATGGACTTCATCTCAGTCTTTCCTAAGTCGAAAGGGTACGACTCTATTATGATAGTGGTTGACCGATTTTCTAAGTATGACACATTCATAGCAGGCTCAATAGATTGCACAGCAGATGAGGCAGCTCGTTTATTCACAAAACATGTGGTGAAGTATTGGGGCGTGCCTAAGTCCATCATTAGTGACCGGGACCCTCGCTTTACAGGACGATTTTGGACTGAGCTATTCAAGATGTTGGGGTCAGACTTACACTTTTCTACAAGCTTTCACCCGTAAAATGATGGCCAAACGGAACGGTGAATGCTTTACTGGAGCTCTACTTAAGGCACTTTGTCAGTGCCAATCAGCGAGATTGGGCTAAGCTGCTGGATGTAGCCCAATTCTCTTACAACTTGCAATGAAGTGAGTCCATAAATCATAGCTCATTTGAGCTAGCAATTGGGCAGTAGCCACTGACACCCCACATGTTTGGCTATACGGAAAGAGTCCTGTAGCATTCAAGTTTGCTAAAGGATGGCAAGAACAAGCCGATGTGGCATGGGCTTACTTAGACAAGGCATTTAAGAAAATGAAGAAATGGGTTGACAGAAAGAGGCGGGCGGTGGAATTCCAAGTAGGGGACTTGGTACTTGTCAAGTTGTTGCCTCAACAGTTCAAGTCCCTAAGAAAGGTGCATAAAGGATTGGTGCAAAAATATGAAGGACCTTTTCCCATCACAAAGAAGGTTGGGAAAGTTTCTTATCAGGTGTAACTGCCTCTAAAGCTTAAGATTCATCCAGTCTTCTATGTAAGTAATTTGAAGACTTATCATACTGATTTAGAAGACCCAAGCCGAGGGAAGTCATTGCGAGCACCAACGGCAGTAACAATCCCTTATGACAAAGAGGTAGAATACATTGTGGCCGACCGAGTCATCCGAACGTATGGAGTTCCTCCCAGCACAGAATACTTGGTAAAATAGAAAAGACTACTAGAAAGCGAGGCTAGTTGGGAACCAGCAGAAGCTTTCTGGCAGTTCTAGGAGCAAATACAGAAGTTTCACGGAGAGGATGCGACGAGGTTGTCACCAACATAGGTGGGGGAGAATGTTACAAGCTGCTAAATTTCCTATGGCAAAAATCCCCTACATAGGAGCTTAGGAGCATAGAGGTTAATGGAAGGATATAGAACTTCCTAGCTCATTCCAACGCTTGAGAGAACATGGAGAATTCTAGAACATCCTTGAGTATTCAAGACACTTAGACTTGTAAATATCTTGTATAGATATTTCTATAGCATTCTAGAATATTCATGTAACTTGTAAGAAAGGCTTCTAGAGGAAGTCTCTCCATGTGTTTCCTAGTGGCTTCTAGAGTATTCTATGAGAGGCCAAGAGTGCCTATAAATAGGGGAGGAGCTCATTTGCTCCAAAACCATTCAATAGTTGTAAAGCTTTCTCACAGTGAATACAAGGCACTCTCTCAAACTCTTTTGTGTTCTTCATACTTGTCTTTCTTCTAAGTTTGTGAGTTAGACTGACTTAGCATCATCAAGTGAAGCTTAAGATTGTCTAAGTTTCATACGGATAGCTTGGAAACAATCAAGGCCGTGACAAGACGCTAACATGTGTTTTTTTACTTGAGCAAAAAATTCTACATAAGTTTCTTCATTTTGGAAGTAGAAAGATAAGATGTATTCTTTTGTCTTTGTATGTATATGTATGTTCATTCATATACTATTGTTATACTTCTGAAGATTTAGATAAGAGGGCTGCTATTAGCACCCATTAATTATTTTGGACCTTTCATTTCTTTGGACCCGTACTTATAAATTCTAAAACCCTTAAAATTTCTTTTATCTCCCAAATAATATCAAAAGTATCCTTATAAAAATATTCCAACCATTCAATTGAATGCACACCCCCACACCCCAAAAAGCCTCTCCCAAAAACCCTAACAAAACCTACGAAGGTAATTACTACTTCAACTCAAAATATTTGTTTATAACTTGAGAAAATAAATGCTCGATTACATGTTCCCGAACAAATAAACAATGTTCAGGCTTGTGTTCCCAAATTTCCATCATATGTTCAGGGAGTTCAGTTCCGAAAAAATGACGAATAATTTTTATTATTTTTATCATTTTTTTTCAAGAAACTTACTCTTATAAAGTTAATCTCCTTTGAGCTAAGAACACCATCAAAATTATGAACATCCTCCGAGCTTTTATTGTTGTACTACTCTCATCTCATGGAATTATGGTTGTTGGAAAAATTTCCATTCACTGTCATTGCTGGAGAAGTATAGCTAATTAAATGGTTGCCATCGTTTATCACTGGAATATTGCTGCCAAAGGGTTTTTAAGGTTTTGAGAGTGGGTAAGTTTTGAAGATGAGATTTGGGAAAGATGAATGGGTGGTGATGGATGTGGGTGTTCTAAAAAATCCTAACTCATGATATAGTAGGTGTGTGAGCTTAATTATGAGATGGGGTTTCACAAAATTATTGATGTCGTTTTTAATAATTTTATTTGAGGTTATTATTGTAATAAAAATGGAGGGTCCAAAATAATTGATGAGGTGTTAATAGCAACAGTCTTTGGGGTGTTTTGAGAAGATGGTTAAAAGTTAATTTTTTAGCTTTTTTTTTGAAAAAATGTGTAAAAAATATAAGAGATAATATGACCCAAAATGAGTTAAAAGCTGGGAAGCGAGTTTTAACTCATTTCCCAAAAGAGGCCAAAGGAGAAGATCTTTTTTTCTTTTTCTAAATTGGTGATATCAAAATGAACAAGTTAAAAAAAAAGGAAAAAAGCCTCGTGAAAGTAAGAATTAGGATTTCACCCCTGTTAAAATGAGGAAAGTGGCTAGGTGATGTTTGGACAGACTGGATAAGGGAGATTGTAATCTACCGGATTGTTAATTTTGGGATAGATTGTCCCTGGATTATTTGATTGGAAATGATGTGTATCCTATGTTTATTTAATCATGAGATTGGATGTATGGATTGGACTATTCTATTGAATCCTATATTTGTTTAATCATGAAATTAGATATATGGATTGAACTATTCTATTGAATCCAATATGTATCCTATTTTATTTAATTTTTTTACCAAAAATTTTAAAAAATTAAACAAATAGAATATCAATAAAAATTATATAAATTTATTTTAATTTTTAGTTGAGATTTTTAAATTTTATTTTACTTTACTAAGTATAATTAATACCACAAGCTCTCTGTTTCAGCAAAATAGGGCACAAAAGCACTCATCAGTGGTCCCCCCGGTCAACCGGCTGGTCGACTACCAAAAATGTATTCCCATGGTATGAGTTATCTTGGGTTTTGTGTCCTACACACCCCCAAGACAGAACAATCCAACATATTTGGGACTAATAGTCCGGTGCAAAATTTCTGAACCAAACAATGGACTATTCTATCCATCAGACATGGAATCTTATCCCATGGCTCAATCCCTCCAAACAAACGTGCTCTAAAGCTCTCATTGTGTTGCTGAGTAATCTCTTTTTCATGGACAATGAAGGTATTTGGTTGTATTACATGGATTTTTTTATTTCTTCCAAAATATTTGTGTCTGTTGAATATGACATGGGTAAGGGTGTGAGATATATATCCGGCACTCATACTCAATTTAGACACTTGAATTCTTTAATTTGTTACAATATATGAGAAGAAGAAACTCACATTTGCTAATAAAGCAATATTTTTAGCTTCTCACATTAATTAGACATAGAAATTTTATTTTTTTCTCTTGAACCTATTCAATGTCAAGAATATTTTTATATAATTTACAACATTTCATCCAAAAAATATTATATAATATGCAATATATATATATATATATGTACACGTTTTTGAATATGCATCTCAAGACCATAAGATTTAAATTTATAAGAATTTGACACTTAGATACATACCCACACATACCTGTACCCGAGACCATGTAAACATAGCTATTTGGAGCAAAAACCTCACCTCTTTCTGTCATTACTGATCCTAGGGTGATTGAATGTAAACTAGTTGGTCAAAACTTTATTATTATTATTATATTTTTTTGAAAACTGTTGTTCAATAATCATTTTGAATAAAATTTTAGAAGGAAAAAAAAAGAAAAGACAAGAAAAATAGAAAACAAAATCTTAATAATGATGGATCAAAATGATGTTCGTCTTTGTGGTTCTTGCATTACAAAATGATATGATTCTTGTGGTTCTTTCATTACAAATAAAACATTATTATTGTATTTTATAATTATAAAAAAGTTATCGTCACGCCTATTTATATAATTTTTATGTAAAAAATTTATGTTGACGGTTAATTATACTTTTAATTCCAAAAATATGAATTCTGCGTCACTTTAGTCATTAATGTTTAAATTATATAAATTTAATTCCCAATATATAAAAAAATGTTTCAATTTAGTATCCGTTTAGTTATTAAACACTGTTAAAATCATATGTAAATATGTAATTTCAAAGACCAAACATATTTTAGGGGCTAAAAGTGTACTTTTTTCAAATAAATTTTTTTAGTAATGACACAACACATATTTAGGTGACTACAAGTATAATTTTTTAAGTGAGTTTTTGAATTTATCGCTAATTTTATGGCATCTACTAATGATGTTAGATTGGGAGACCGATTGGAACACTTTTATTTTTGTGTAATGAAAATTAAATTGATACAATTTAAACATTATGAACCCTAATGACACAAATAACATGCTTTAGGGACTAAAAACATAATTAACCTTCCTGTTTATAAATCATTTTTCTTTCCCAAAAAGTCTACACTCTTGTTGCCTCTGTTGGCATTTTTATTTTTGGAAATGGTATAATTGGTATCACCAGACCCTGATGTTATTATTATTACTATTATTAAATAGGATGATCATTGTTGATTGTACAATTTTAATTAAATTCCGGATTTTATTAACATGTACTTAAGAATATTTGTTGACATTTATGAACTAGTTGTATGTTCTGCTTTATTAATCAATATGCTAAAAATACTCGTTGACCTTTTAATATTTCACCATTTTTATAATGTGATTGGGATCTTAATTTTTGGAAAAGAACTTGTCTTGAGCTCCCTGTTGTTATTACTATTATAGTTAGTATGATAGTTGGTCTTAAAATTAGTTAATAGTTAGGCATAAAATAGAAATGATTTGAGCCATCACATTGCCTCTGATTGAAGATGTTAATTCCTAGTTTATTTTATTTTAATTAACGGAAACTAATGCCAATGGTAAGTAGATACTGAAATAAATAAAGGTAAATATATATTTTAGCAAGAAGAGATGATAATATCATTTTTTTATTCATACGACTAATCAATTACTGATGAAAAAAAGTTTAAGTGTTATGTGAATTAAAATTTTTAAGAGATTAGTGTAATTATGTTAACACTGTGGGATTAATTATATATATTTCAAATCTTAAGGGAGATTAGTGTAATTTACCATTTCTTTTATTATATGCACCAGAAAAGCTCATGTTAAATAATTATGAACAATAGTGCAATAACTCAATTTTTATAATAAATTTACTTTTAAAAACATGTCATTAGAAATTTGGTTATCCTAATATAAAATAAGGTCATTAGTTTTTGTTTAAATTCGGTAGTTCTAGATAGATACTATTGACATTGTAATCTTTCACAAACAATTAGGTATCATGCAAAATTCTTGACAATAATATTTTTGCAATAATCTTGCAAGAACAATTGTTTTGGGTTAAATTATCTACTATTTGGACACTGCTGACTTAAACTATCATTGGAAGATTACTGCAAAAGCAATTATTACAAAAAAAAAAAAAAAAAAAATTTAAACTCAAGTAGAATTTCACCATGAAAGTGATAGAGGCATGAATTCAAAATTGTGTGCTATGTAAGGTTGTTAAAATCAAGATTTTAAGTGGATCGGTGGGGAACTTGTGGAGTAAATCGTAGAATTAAATAAAAAATTGTAAGATTTTACTTTTAATGTAAAATAAAATGAGAAATGATGGGTGTGTTTGGTAACGTTTACGTTTTCAGTTTATATTTATAAAAATTTTAAAAACTGTTTTTTGTTTATTTTTAGAAAAACATAAAATACAAACACGTTTGGTAATTAACAAAATGTTTAAAAAATTTTAAAAAAAATAAAAAATTGTAAGATTTTACTTTTAATGTAAAATAAAATGAGAAATGATTTTAATAATGATAATGTATATTAAATAATTTTGAAATTATTAAAAAAGTGATAAATTTAACATAATGCATCTTTTATGAGAAAAAGTTTATAGTCAAATTTATTATATAAATATATAAATATATAAATATAAATACATATATAAGAAATAAATAATAATAATATTTTTTTGTAAGATCGGGGTCGTAATACAATTCTATATAATTTTATAACTGGATCGAAATTACTTTAAGATCTTAAAAGAATATGAATTTTTTATCTAATTAGAATTGCAGAATTATAATATCCTACGATCTGGATCAAGATTCTGATAACCATGGTGTTGTGGAGTATCTAGCACATTTTTTTTTTATTTTCTGGGCAAGTTTGTCAACCTACTAAAATAATAATAATAAAAAAAAAATCACTACCAAAAAATCAATTCTTCTCTTTATTTTTTTGTATTTTTTTTTATAAAAAATTAAAAAATCAACTAAAATAATTAGTTCCAAAACAATTAGAATAAAAGATTTCAACATATTAAAAATCAGGGGAATTACTTATAATAGCTGGACAATGAAAAAAAATATACACAAATATGGAAGGGTGTAAGTGAGATTTGTACCTCTATAGCTTTTCACTTGCAATCCACTATAGATTTACTTGCACTCTTCATATTTTTATAATTTTTTTCTATACCCCACTACTAAGTAATTTCCCCTTAAGAATTTTATATGAGGGTGCATCAATTTTTTCATTAAATTTGAGTAAAAGCTCCCTTTGATATCAATTGTTCTAATGGAAGGTTTTGTAACTTCATCAAATCACTAGTCAATCGGGTAGATGACTGACCAATGTAATTTTTTCACAAATTTTTAACTTGAGATGGTCATTCTGAAGACATTCGGAGAGACATCCGATGATGACAATCCAATGGCACTGTGATATGATAAAAATCATATTGATCTTTAATTTGATGAAAGAAAAGTAAAATTCTTTGATGAGCTGTTATTGAATAAAAAAATATTTTTTTATTAAATTTAAATTTGATGAATTATTGAAGATGGTACGAGGCTTTAAAGTTTGTGAAATTGCGAATGTGACCCCTTAAAGATTTTAAAATCTCCCGTACGTTATAGACACATGACCGTTATTCCGTTAGTCAAAACCCCCATGTGAAAAAAACGCGGCTACGAGCAAAAAACCAAAAAAAAAAAAAAAAAAAAAAAAAAAAAAAAACACAAAAATTAGAAACTGCAGAGAAACAGAAGAGAACCCTCAAGCCCAAGCTCTCTCTCCCTTCAAACCCTAAATCATCCCCTGATCTTTCTTCACCCAAAACCGTGTTCATTTTGATGAGCTTTTACCTTTTCTCAAAACCCTAATTCCCATTTACCATTTCAACTTTCCTATATACCCAAATTCTCTCTCTTTCTCTTTCACTCTATGCCTATTTGTGTGTGTATAACAAAGCAAACCCTAAATTCAAGAAGCATTTGAAGGGTCTAGAATTTTTGGTTTGAGGAGAAAAGAGAGAAGTAGAGGTTGGTTTTGTGAATGAAAGATGAAGAGAAAGGGAGAAGATGAGGTTGAGCATGAGAAGGTTAAGCAGAGGAGTATGTGCAAGTATGGTGGAGATGGAGTGGCATGGTTTAGAGGTGCAATGATTGGAAAAGGAAGTTTTGGGTCTGTTTATTTGGGGATTTCGAAGAAACCCAGATCGCGATATGGTTGTTTTCCGGCAATTATGGCTGTGAAATCGGCTGAAGTCTCTGTTTCGGGTTCAATTCAAAAGGAGAGGGAGGTTTTGAATAACATTGGACGGTGCAAAAATGTAATTCGATGCTTTGGTGAAGAGGTTACGAATAGCGAGAATGGCGAAATGGTTTATAATTTGTTGTTGGAGTATGGTTCTGGTGGAACCCTAGCTGATTTGATCAAGAAATCGGGTGGCTGTGGATTGCCAGAATCCGATGTAAGGTACTACGCGAGGTCTATTCTTCGTGGTCTCAATCACATTCACCAGTGTGGTTATGTTCACTGTGATTTGAAGCCTGAAAATATACTCCTTGTGCCTAATCCAACTGGTACTGGTACCAAATTTAAGGTGAAAATTGGTGATTTTGGATTGACGAAGAGAGCGAAACAGAATAAGAAGAGAAGATTGGATCCTTACTGGAGAGGAACTCCAATGTATCTTTCTCCCGAAGTAGTTGTTGATAATATTCAAGAGCCTCCCTCTGATATTTGGGCTTTTGGGTGTATTGTGCTTGAGATGCTAACGGGAAAGCCTCCGTGGGTTGGGAAGGAAGATCTTGAAGCTGAGGTTCTTCTTCGTCAGATTGGCAAAGGCCATGAATTGCCTAAAGTTCCAAGTGAGGTATCAAAAGAGGGGAGGGAGTTTTTGAAGGGTTGTTTTGCGAGGAAGTCTATGTATAGATTGACAGCTGAAATGCTCTTGAATCACTCATTTGTAGAAGGGTTAGTTGAGGATGATGGAGAAATTGAAGAGGGTGAAGAGATTTTAGTTCCAGATGAGGTTGGTTTGTCGTTTATGTTATACGAGACTGATGAGGAGTGCAGTTATTCCTCATCTTCAGATGATTGTACCTTCGTATCAGAAGAGTTCTTTCTTTCTTCTTGGTCAGACGAGGCAGATGAGATTGACACTCAAGAGTTTTCTGGTTTTGCCGAAGAAGGAACGTTGGAAGATCAAGAAAGCACAGACACTACAAGCTCTATCATTGCTCCTGCACTCGATGATGTGATTAACAAGTCAAAACAGGTTTCAACAAATACAATGCAGCAGTGCCCCATTACTTTTACCATTCCAGCCGGTGTTTAGTATTCATCATGTATGTGTTTTAGAAGAGATCATTTACATGAATTTTTTCATTGTAGATATTACATATTGATAGCAATTAATGAGATATTTCATTTCGACGTGTCATGCTTGTTGAATTTCTATTAAATTTAATTACTTTGCTACATTATTAATGCAAAGAAATTGGTTTGTTGCCACATTTTTGAAATACAAGGAGTTATACAATTTAAGTGTTAACTGAAGTGGATGTTGTGATCTCTAGTTACATTGTGATTGCTGGTTTATACTCTCTCCGTCCCATGTTATGTGTCCTGGTTGACTTTGCTAAAAAAAAAAAAAAAAATCCCGAAAATTTTGAATGGTTAAATTGCAAGGATGTTAATTGTAATTGAAATTAATTATAGTTTGAAATAAGGAAGTAATGGTTAAAATTTTTTAACTTCTCAAACTAGGACACATAAAATGAATTTTCAAAAATGGGAAGTTGGAAACATAAAATGAGATGGATAGAGTATTATAAAATTTTAATTATCACTTTTCAGGACAAAACATCTATTTTTCTTGCATCCTAGTTTGCATTATTCTGAACAGAGAATAATGTTTTGGTGTTTCCCACTTTTGAAGTCTTGTCAATTTTCAATTTTCCTCAAAGTACAATTGTCTCAATTAAATTATTTGGATTATTGCTTCTGTAAGGGGCTTTTTCGGGTTTGTAATCAACTAAAATTTTTAACTTGAGCTCCTACTTTGTTGCAAATAGAGAGAAGTTGGGAATTAGTTTACCGATTGGCTTGTGCATTAACTCTAGTACTAATTAAGTGTACCCATTTGCATTTTTAAGTAGAATTTAATATGGAAGGACTCAAGGACTTCAGTTCACCAATATTGATGTACCATTTTTTTAATGGTGCTAACTTGTTAAGTGTTTATCTCACTGGGCAATTTTGAAAATGGTCATTTCAGTGATGCTACATGCATGTGTTATTTGTTTTGTCCTAGTTAAATAGTTAACCAAATTGACGGTGTTAAATTTGAGAAAGAGGGCATGAATGATCTAATCTGGTACAATTGCAGACCTTATAAATGTCGAGATCTGCATTACAAGTCCTGAAACTTGGTCCTTATGGACTTGTGACGTAAAGAAATTAGTTTCGTCTGGTTCAGTCATCTACAGCCAAGAATTACTAGATTTTGAGCTCTGATGGATTAAAGTTGTCAGGACTTAAAACATCCTGCTATGATTTTTGTCTATCAATGTTAGAGCACTTCATCACATCAAATGCTTCATCTTTTATGTTCCCTTCTCATCTTCTTTGTGGCATTTCATAGGAATTATGAGATCCCCTTTTCATGTATACTGCACTTTCAAAGAAAAAATGCAGCAAACTGTTATCTACTACATTATCATGTTCTTTTTCATCCTATTGCTAACCCATATGCTAACCCTCTAAGGCTCTAGTAGATTGCTGAGAAGACACAGTAAGAGGAAACTTGTTCTGAATCTTAATGAAAATGGTAATGAAAGGCTCATAGAAAGGTTCCATGCTGCGCTTCGCCTTCCTTCCCAACAAATAGTCCAAAGAACCTCAAGATCAAAAGAAAAGTGAAAGAAATCTGTCAACAAATGAACAGAGGACACAACAACCTATTGTTTCTTATTCATTGTTAGGAGGTAGGCACAGGAACTATTCTGCAGACCTTATGCAGAAACCTTCTCTCTCTCTCTCTCTTGTTTTGTTTTGTTTTGTTTTTGAAGGGGTTTAGGAAAATCATTTCTACGTTCTCAAGAAATGGGATCGGTGAGGTTTCATAAATGAAATTTGCAACATGGTATGTCATATGGGATTTAGTTAATTGTAAATATTTTGTTTGTTGAATTGATTTCCTTTTGGCCTGTGTGTGGAGTCATGCCCCAAGGAAGTAGTCTATTACTGAGATAAATCTGCACTTGTCTGACCTTATGCTACATTCAGTGGCGAAGAAATGGTGAAGACACCATGGATCCTTCTTTCTCTCTTTCTTTTCTACTCGCTACTAGAACACGCGTATCCTCATAGAAACCATTCCTACCCCAAGTGTCTCCTATAACCCCCCCCCCCTCCCCCCCGGCTTTAAGTGCAACCGAACTGATCATGGATTTAATGTTACATAATTTCATAAGTTAGTAATTTGTAGCCTCATGGATAGTTTTGTTTGAAAAAGATTCAACTTGCAGGTAGAGTTTCCAACTGAATTGATTATTGTTCATGTGTGATACTATTATAGTAGAGGTCATTTAAGGAAATACCTTAATGGTGAATCACTTTCTATGTTGGCCTATTGTAGGTAAGAGCATGCCTTCATACTTTGTTTAATTTCCCTCCATTTCAGTTCTTTATTATTCATTATAGTCTACTTCTGTTTTTTCCCCATTATGATTTGCATTGTGATTCACTGGTTGTGGCGTATGCGGGGCTGACCTCTTACGCATTCTTCGTTTCTTGCAAATCATCTCTGAATTATGAATAACCTGTGGTTTTCTCTGAAGACAGTTGTAAACTAAATTTTCTGGTAATACGGGTCATTGCTGATCTGGCTAGAAAGTTTCCTTATTCCTCTCTCTCTCTCTCTCTCTCTCTCTCTCTCTCTATTCCAATGGAGGAGCAATGGCAGTCAAATCTAATGAATATTATGTAGCTTTACAGTATCACTTCTTCTGGCAGCTTTTAATTTGAAAACTTGAGATTGAGAGGTATGCTTCTAATTCAGTTTCCTGTTTACCAAAGTAATTTTTCTTAGGCTGTGTTTGGGTCATGGATTTGTGTAGAGATGTGGAAAGGGAAACAGAAAAAAAAGGGTGAAATGTGAATGAAATATAGTTATATTTTACCTACATTTCACAAACCTTTTCCTTTTTTCTTTCCAAATCCCCACCAAAATTTGTGATTCGAACACAGCCTTGGGGTATTATATTCCTTTCAGTTTCAACTATAGACCCTAGAATTTGTCTATGGAATAACAACCACATGGCAATGGGCAAGTTAGCATGGCCATTGTTACAAGGTGCCATAAGAAACCAGAGGTGGAATGGCCTCCAAGTTAGGAGTTCTACATTTTATATGTAAGGAGGCTCCTTTGCACAAGGAGATTCTGTGTACTTGATTTTTCAGTTTTTTCTTTTATTGAATTAGAGCTTACTTATACTCTTTTTTTGTGTGCAATACTCTCTATATTCTAAATATTTTATAAATATGAATTTGGTGTACAGATTACTTTTTGGGTTTGAAGTGCAGGATCAGTAGATGCTTGAATTCAGGGATGAAAATTCCATTGATGTGACATGTCTTTAGTGTTAAACTTACCAGGTGAGTTCAAGATGGCTATATCATTGATCCTGCATAAGTAGATGATAATCTTGTTAGGATAGTTTCACAACCACTAATTTCTATTTGTCATCACAAGTAGCTGTACTAAAATTAGTAATAAATATGATTGGAGTACCTAATTTATGCCATCCTTGTTGGATTTTATAGCTTGTACTTTGACTGTAGAGCAAGTTTTCCTATCTAGTTCTTCATAGCTCTAGAACACCATGGACTCCATGAAATCTAATACTATATTGTTTGAGGTGGTTTAGCAAGGTGACAGAAAACAAGGTAGCATCATGCAGCAACACTAATTTCTGAATTGGTACTGTTAAAATCCACCTACTCTCCACCTACTTCACCCACTTAAACCTACTCCACTAAACCTAACCCACTACACCACTACCACCTCCACTTCACCTACTCCTTACCTACTACACACTCACCCTCTTCTATATATAGGAATCATCATCTTGTAATCTATCCATCAAATATCAATCAATAATACATCATTTTTTTACAGGTACCAGAGACAAAACAATACATGCAAAGCTAAATAAGTAAATAATGATTGAAATTTTGAATTAATGCGAAAGATGAAGATAGGCATCATTTCATTGTAAACAATTTCCAAGCATGTTGACTATTTCTACATTTTAAGGCTCCATTAGTGGTGCAATGATAAAATTATGCTTTCATGGTGCACTTCGTGCTTTTTGAAAATAAAAAATAAAAAAATTGTTGTTGGCTGCATTTTTTACTCCCACATTTCAGACTACATTTTGATGCTGAGATATATTAGAAATTAAATGCTGCAGATAACCATAAGAAGACAACATGCTACATTTTGGCAATGAGAGGCTATGTTTTGATAGATAGATTAAAATGTGCAGTTTAACCAAATGAAGACAAAATGCTGTATTTTCATTGAGCGACCAACCAAAATGTCAAATTTTGTTTGTTGGGAGCTAAAATGATATGCTTTTTTTTTGGCAGGAGACACTAACATGCTTTTTTTTATGTGAGCAAAAAATTCTACGTAAGTTTCTTCATTTTGGAAGTAGAAAGATAAGATGTATTGTTTTGTCTATGTATGTTCATCCATATACTAATGTTATACTTCAGAAGATTTAGATAATAATGCCACCAGTTAATCTATTTTTTGGAGTCCAAAAAATACAAAAAAAAACCCTGCCTATATGGAGAAGGTCTTTTTTTTCTTTTCTAATTTGGTGAGATACCAAAATGAACAAGTTAAAATGAAGGAAAGAAGCCTCGTGAAAGTAAGAATTAGGATTTCACCCCTGTTGAAATGAGGACAGTGGCCTAGTGGAGGAGGATGGGTCCCAACAGCAATCCAAAGGTGATGTTTGGCAATTGATATTTATTCATTTTTTTTTTTTTGCTTCTTTAAAATCTAAAAAAGTTGATGTGTAGTAATTGCTTTTTTTTTTTTTTTGCTAGTGGGAAAGTTGAGTGAATCCCTAGTTTTTTTTAGCCAAAAACAAACAGGTTTTTGTCTTTTGATTTATTTAACTAAAAAAACATTTGTCACATGGCCAAACAATTGCTAATTTGATATCTACCTCATGTTAATGATCAGTAACTTTGATTTTTCTGCACTATTTATTCAATGAATAATGGAGTCCTAATAGCAACGATGCTACATGTATTAATACTACAGATGGGGTGAATGTGAAAATTTTTGTATTGTCTGGTTCTTCTAATTTTAATTTTACACCATACCTACTCAATATGTCAATGTGTTATATTTATGTAAATGAATTAACTCAATAAACAAAACCATTTTCTTCTCTCACTATACATTTCTTTCTAACTCAGCAGGGCCAACACTATTGAACACATTTTATGGCAGTACACACAGGCGAAGAAGAACTAGTTCATCATCATCCTAATAATGCACTGACAATGTCAAATAAACGCTCCCAGGCTCTGCAATTTCCTCCAATTCCTCAGCCTCCAATGGCATGTTGCTCCAATGATCCGAAAAGAAAGAAGAACTGAGTCCAGCGTCATCTACTGCATCATATGACAAGGACGAGCAAACCCTAACTGCCTCTCCATCCACCTTTGGTTTTTTGATCACCCTATAGTTCCAATAATCTGGGAAGGCGTATGAACTGAGTTCATCATCAGCCGCGTAGTCTGACAACGATGGGGAGCAATCCTTCTCCTCAGAATCCTCCACTGATAATTCTTCTTCATCCTCTCTGCTATATATCCTTGCCCAATCCGGCCACAAAAGGGAGATCCAAGAGCATATGAGCAGTCAATCTATCCATAGCTTTCCCAGCCAAACAACCCTTCAAAAAGTCCATTGCCTCCTCTGATACCTCAGTCTTACCGGGTAGTTTGAGCACTCCATGCCCTTTACCAATCTCAGAGAGAATGTCCTCAACTTCTGAATCTTGTTTCCCATCCCACACTGACTTCCCAGTTAACATCTCAAACACAATCAACCCAAGGGCCCAAACATCAGAGGGAGGCTCTTGTTGTAGCCCTTTATCAACCATTGTCTCCGGTGACGAATACTGGAGACTTCCTCTCAGTTTATATGGCATTGTCAATATCTTCCTCGCTTGCTTTGATTTCTTTGCCAACCCCAAATCACCAATCTTTGCGATATATTCAGTGCCAGTACTAGTAATGATCGGAACAATGATGATATTCTCAGGCTTTAGAGCACGGTGAACATAACCAGCGCTATGAACACAATCAAGACCTTCAAGAATATACCTTGTGTAGCGCCTAACATCAGATTCAGGCAATCCGTTGCCACCAGTTTTCTTGATCACATCAGCTAGGGTTCCGCCAGAACCATACTCCAACAGAAGGTTATATACCATCTGATTGCGATCACTGGTGAAAACCTCTTCCCCAAAGCAACGATAGATGTAGGGACAGGCATGGAAGTTCCTAAGAACAAGTGATTCCCTCTGAAGCAAAGCCGAATCAGAAACCTCAGCGGACTTGACCGCCATTAGTACAGGCAAGTGGGTGAGTCTCCACTTGGGTTTCTTCAAAGTCGCCAAATAAACAGGTCCGCTGCTTGATTTTCCGATGATGGACCCTCTGAACCACCTGTTTCCATCGCCATAGGCACTTTTCTTGATCTCGAGCTCCTCATGCTTCCTCTTCATAAATACCATCTTCACAAAGACTGTTTGTTGTTTGTGTTCTTCACAGAATATTTTTGTGAATGTTTTGTTAAAGTATTTTATGTGTCTATAGGACTAGGTCTTAGGGTTTTAAGGAAATATATAATCAGAGAGAGAGAGAGAGAGAGAGAGAGAGATTAGGATTTGATAGATAATATTTCGACTAGGATTTGAAGTCTGGGTAGAGTGAGGCACAGACAGAGGCCAACTGTGTCATGTGCCTTGCAGTTTAAGCAAGTAAACAAATCTTACAAAATAAAATGGATTTTTATTGGGTCGGTGGGTTTGGATCTTGGGTTGACTTGGAACCATTTTTCAATTTGGATTCATTATCCAGCTACCTGCATTCGGATTATTGCTTATATTGGGCTGCAATATGTTTCATAAACCAATAATTCCCATAGTATTAAGCTGTGGAGAAGACATAAATACCAATTTGAAAGTTCTGTTCTAACATAAATTTATATAAAAAAGTATAATAAAATTAATGTGACGTAGTTGTTTTTATAAAGGTAAATTATACTTATGATTCTTGTAATTTGTTTGTTGTATTAATTTGATCCTCATAATTTTAATTGTATCCAATTTTACTCTTTAATTTTTTTTGTGATGCCTCAATTTGGTCAAGTTATATCCACAACCCTTGTAATTTGCATCTTGTGTTAATTAGTCCTTATATAGTTGCATCTATTTTTACCTTTTTAACAATTTTTATTTTTTATTTTTGTTAATCAGGAGGAGAGTACTTTATAATATGAGAAACATTATATCAAATCGAACAACTAAAATTCAACAATAGCTAGAAAGTCCAATAGTCACCAAGCCCAACAATCACCACTAGCTCAAATTAGGAAAGAAATAAAAACTATATACACAACCTCCATATTAGGGAAAAAAATAAACATCACAAAGATTATTATAAACTCCTCTTTATAGGAGTTGAACTCATGATCTCATATCACAAAGCGGTGCCCAACCACTATACTAAGGGCATGTTTGATTAGTTGGATTATAGCATAGGATTGATATTGTTAGTCCATAGACTCACAATTCTATATTTAATAGCAAATTTTATTAATTGAATACATATACGAGATACATTCAATTTGACGATATTGGAAAATATTTAATATTGAGAGGAGCTGGAGATCATAATTTCAAGTATGAAAGAAAAAAAAAATAATGAATACATAATAAATTATTATCTCACTAATTTAATTAGATAACTAATCCTATACTAATTCATAAAATTATTAATCATTTCACTATTAATTCTGTTAATCAAACAAGGCCTAAAGGTCCTAATTACCCTTTTAATTTTTCACAATGCCTCAATTCAATCCAATTAATAATATCTGTTTAGAAATTGGATTAAAATCAAGATTAAAATAGTCAATTTATTATTCTCAAAGTAATTAAGGGATTAGTGTAAGTGATCTATCCCTTTTGAATGAATTATTTTGCATTTGATTTTGGTCTAATCTCTTGATAGATATTATCCGTTGCACTTAATTCATGCATTGTGTAAAATTAAAGGATAAAAGTTGATGCAATTAGAACTTCAAGAATCAATTGATTTGAGACAAGAAGCAAACTGTACGACTAGGGGTTCAATTTGCCTTTTATTACAAATGAAAATCATCCACATTTTTTTTAGGGGAAAGATCCATATCAAACACAAATTTTTTCCGTATATATCGCTACTCTATAAATTTTTTTATTTTATTTTAAATTTAATCTTCAATATCAAATTTTCAATTTGTCTTTCTTAAATTTTAAGGAAGAAGTCCTAATAATTGGGTTAATTGCTTAAAAGTCCCATTGGTAATGTTTATGCTCCATTAAGTCCTCTTTCATTTTTGTTAATCCATAAAATCTTATTTTCAAAATATTTATATATATACATAACTGATTTATCCTTATTAAAAAGAAGAAGGAATTGCGTCAATTCATTGAGTGTTAATAGAAAGTTATTAGGTGTTATAAGTGCATCACATGACAATGTTATTCACCAATCACCAAGTATTATACCTCATGTCCCAAATACAAAATTGTAGGCCCCACCTTATCCATCAATCATAAATATTTTGAAAATCACCTAGCTGTGCCTCAAAAGTACTAGATATTTTCTCTTATTCAAATAGTATTGCTGATGTGCCATTTTACTTTAGTTTTTTTTGTTTCAAAACTTACAAATTTCATAATTTTTATTATACACATTTATTTTTAATAAAGTTTTATTTTTGGAGTCTAAACAACGGGATTTATCAAACAAGACCGATATTGAATATAAAATTTTATAAAAATAAAATATTATTATTTTTAGTTATACAAAACTAACAATTTCTCAGTTTGCGAAATTATCTAATAAAACTAAGAATTTTTTTAATTTTTTCAAGTATTAATTGAGAATATTATCCAGTGTAATTGGTTTCAGTTTTTTGAAAACTGAATTTTTTTTTTTTAGTGAATATTTTTAAAATTGTAAGCATTTTTTTTTACTTTTTTAGATGTACTTTACTTAAATATATCTAAACAGTAAAATATTTGTGAAAAAATATTTTTAAAAAATTAATAAATATACAAAAATACGAAAAATATGTTGAATTTTTGTATATTTTTTTTTTGCATTTTTGGTATTTAGTGAATTTTTTAAAGATTTTATTTTTCACGAAAATTGTACTTTTTAAGTGTATTTATATTAGTTGTGTCTAAAAATTAAAAAAATTGCTTGAAATATTAAAAAAAAATTAGTAAAAACAAAAAAATACGGAAAATAAGAAAGTAAATTTTTTTGAAAAGTGTTTTTAAAAAACTGAAAACAAACATGGTAATTAGTTTTTGAGAAAGTTCTTAATTTTTTTTTTCCAGTTTTAAAACTAACTAAATTGGGAATATTCTCAATTTTAAACTTGGAAAAAATTAGACCAAAAAAATATTGTTAGTTAAGTAATTTAAGAAAACTTACTATTAAAATGGTTTAAATTGTAAATTCATAATAAAAAAAAATTATTTTTATATAATTTTATATTTAATATTAGTCTTGTTTGATAGATTTCGTTGTGTTGATTCTAGAAATATAAATTTCATCAAAAATAAATGTATATTATAAAAATTATGATGATTTAAAATTTTGAAAATCAAAATAAATACCACATCATCATATTTTTTTTTTTTTTATAAACAATTACAAATGATGAACAACTATCGTTTGAAGGATTATTTTGTTTATTAAAAATTAATAGGAGTTGAAGGAGGAAAAAATGTTATCTAGGACTTAATGAGACTTGTGTATAAATGCCCCCATTAATTTAATTATCCCTATCTAAAAATAATAAGAAAAAGGCCGAATTATACTAATAGTTATTGTAGTTTGGGACTTGTGTCACTTTGATCCATGATCTTTTAATTATGATACATTTGACTCTGAATTTTGAATATCATTCAAAATAAGGACAATTGAAAATGTCATTTCTTTTGCTATTTTAAGGGCAAAATCGTCAATTTGATAAAATATAAATTAGTTTGACAAAAATAAATATCAAAAAAGATATTTTTAAAATTTTAAAAATTATTTGTACCACCAAAGATAAAATTATATAAAAATAATAAATCTTTAAAAAAAATTTAATTTTTTTTACCAAATTAATTTTTAGTACGTGTTTGGATGATAATCACGTAATGAGTGGTTATTTTTTTTCATATAATGGATGGTCAATGCTGCTCTTCATTTTTCACTAGCTAAAGTATGAAAATAGTATACTCTTTATTTTACCTAACTAATATTTTTTTTAATTTTTATTTATGTGTTCCAAAGCTACTCTTTTATTTTACATATTTATCCACACAAACTAATTTAAAGAACCTTCCCAATACTCTCCAAATGTAGCTAGCTACAAAAATTTTGTTCAAATAGCTATCGTACTAGCTAGCCCATTGGAGTGAGTAAAATAACATAAAACTAGTTACAATAGCTAAGAGCATCTCTAAGGGGATAGTTAAACAAGGCTTGTTAGGCATTTTAGCCAATGTAAGTCTAATTTTGAACTCCAATGGGCTAGCTATTGGGCTAACTACTTACCATCCTATTTTTTTGGTGGCTACAATTGAAGAGCCCTAGAGTCTCTCCAAGCAATTATGTATGTATATATTTTAGATTTTTATATATTTATGTCTTGGATTTGAGATTATATTATATATATATATATGTGTGTGTGTGTGTGTGTATCTATAGCAATTTTATATGTTCTTTCAATTTTGTTTGATGAATTACGAAATAACTTATTTTATATTTTGTATTTTTTTTTCTCCTCATTCCATAGGTTTTGTATGTTTGTATGGGAAAATTTATTATTATTGCAAATTTATATTAGTAAAATATCTAGTATTTTTTTATTTTAAAAATTAATTAAGTTAGTTTAAATGATTAGCTAAAATAAAGAGCATGGTTGGATAACACAATAGCTAAAGTAATTAGGTAAAATAAAGAGTGTACTTTTTTTGTACTTTAACTAGTGAAAAGTAGAGAGTATCCTCTTTTAAAGCAACTCTAACCACACTCTCTACTATTTACTAATTAAAGTATAAAAAAAAGTACACTCTTTACTTTACCTAATTACTTTAGCTATTGTGTTCTCCAAACATACTATTTATTTTAGCTAATCATTCAAACTAACTTAATTAATTTTTAAAACAAAAAATACTAATTGCTGATATTTTACTAATGTAAATTTGCAATAATAATAAATTTGTCCATACAAAAATACAAAACTTGTAGAATAATGGAAAAAAAATACAAAATACAAAATACAAAATAAGTTATTCTGTAATTCATCAAACATAATTGAAAGAACATATAAAATTGCTACATACACATATACATATATAAAATCCCAAATCCAAGACATAAATATACAAAAATTCAAGACATGTACATACATATTTGTTTGGAGAGCCTATGAGGCTCTTTAATTGTAGCTTGCAAAAAGATA